CCCCTCGGCCTCCCAAAGTGCTGGGATTACAGGCTGAGCCACTGAGCCCAGCCAGTAGCCAAATCTTAAAACAAAACAAAACAAAACAAACCAATATGAAGTAGTTTATTTTTCCTAATTTTATCTTTTACCTTAAATTGTCATTTGATTAAATTTTTTTTCTTTAGCTATTAAAACTCTTAGAAAGTAGTTTCCATTAGTTCTTAGTAAGGGAGGATTACTTTTAAAAATACAACTTAAACTCTGGCACTCTCTAGTGGTCAGAAAATCTAAGGTATTGTTTTACTTAAGCTTATACTTTTATTTTTTCCTTTAGCTAACCAAGTGAACTAAGCATAACCTAAATATTCTGCCCCTCACAAAGAGGGCTTGTCTAGTGGCAAAATAATGAAATCAGAAGTTTTACAGTACTCATACTTCCACGCTTTTAGACTAGAAGCACTGAGACACAGCGGTGCCAGATTCTATGAAGGCATTGCATTAGCATTACCAGATGAATTAAGCTAAGCAATGTTAACTGTCAAAACAAACCAAACCGGCTGGGTAAAGGGAGTCTTGCCTCTAATGCTTCTAGGTAGCTCATTTAACCTATAGGAATGGATTTGGGACCTTTAAAATTTTAAATTAAAAAAGAGAACTAAGTGGAATAAATACTTGCTTGGAAATCAGACAGCTCTGGGCTCAAATCCAGCTCATGTCACTTGGCAAGTATTTACTCCTCTTGTAGCATGAGGCTGTAATGAGCACCCTCCACAGTGTTGTTGTCAACCTGAAGTGAGAGGGCAATGGAAAACACTGCCCTCAAGTTGGAATGAAAGGGTATAAATAAAAAGACTTATCGAGAGGAGTTTGGTTAAGAAAAGGATTTTATTAAACCACATTTTTCTTTAGTCAATAAGATCACAGGTTAGCTTGATTAAAGTCTTTCTAATTATTGGGCCCATTCTCTCTGCCGCAAATCCAAAATCCCATATTAATTCCCAACCTTTAAAATGCAGAGTCCTCTAATAAACACACAATATTCATACATACTTATTCATTCTTTTTATTTTTACAAAGCATGAGAAAATGAGGAAACAACTGACAGGTGAAGAGTTTGCACAATGGAAACCCACCCTTATCATTGCACAATTTTACAGGGATCAGAGGTGGCTAAGTGTTCCTTTTAGGTAATTTTGTCATAGAAGAGTCATCTGAAATGAGACTCAAGATGGAAGAGAGGAAAGAAATGAAATCAACATTCATGATTATTTAAAATGACTTAAAAGCTAAACATAATATACATACTACTCCTTTTTCTAGTATAAAAATAGTGCCAGAAACTATATTTGTTCAAATATATTGAAAAGGTATAAGAATACAAATAGATATTAACAGTGGCTAGTGATGCTTTATAATGTGTTCTTAAACTGTAATAGAAATTTATATTTTTAACTATTTACATTTCTTTCAACAACATTCACGAAGACATGTTTACACAGGCTCTTGATAAGTATATGGAATGGCAAGTGAGTTTTAATACTTTCTTCTTCGCTACTCGTGGCAGAGCAGAAGGGGTCCAAAACTGTGCACAGTTGACAGTTCAAGAGAACTCTGAGTAATCACTACCTGGCTAGCACATAGAAAGAATAGTCTATATAGAAGAAAATAAGACTCTGTACATAAGATATTCTTAAACTGTCAACAGGTTAAGTGATTCATATTTGCAAAAAGACAGGATGTTTGTTCACTGATAGATTCTTAATGAGTTTCAGGTAAAGAAGGTGCATAGTACATACATTAGAGATGAAAAGGGAAGTGATGCAATGTACTCTGTTTTCACGTTAAATTGGCAGTATCAGAAGCTATTAAGTCTCTTATCCAGTACCTCTTTCATAGACTGTGATCTCCTTGAGGTCACTGCTCTGTCTCCACAGCTGAGCACAGTACCTAACATGTGGCAGGGACTCAATAAAAGGTGGGTTGATGCATGTCTGACACTGAGCAATTAATTTGTGCCACCTTATTTAACTACAGTTGTTTACAAGAGAGATTGCAATTACATTTTTTTCTCCTCTCATCTTATATTAATCTTGTAAAAAAAAAAAAAAAGCCTATTAAGTTTTAGGAATACAATCTGGTGAAAAACACCAGAAAAAGTGTAAGTAAAACTGGAACAGGTCTAATGTTTGTGCTCTATGCTGAAAATAAAGGCACTTCACTGCTAGGCAAGAGTATTTCTGTGACCAGACAGTTAACTCCAATATTTCCAGCATGTTTTCATATACTTACTTATCTCCAACGTTCCTAATAAAACAAATTAATATTCATAATTAAGTGATCAGTGGTAACAACACGATCATTCATTCAAAGAGCTCTAATCTCATATTTACTAGTGATCTGCGTAGGAAGCCGAATAAATGTGTTATCTTTGTTTTTTCAGTCTTGGAAATTCAACATAAGAAATGACATGTGGGATTAGATCACCTGCTTTCTAGACCAATATCCCATTTCTGACAGACAGTGGTCTCCAGGGCCCATTGAAGCTTATAAAGTAGTTGCCTTCTGTGACATTCTCCATGATAATAAAGGCTTCACCCAAACACAACTCCTTTAAAAGCACAATTTGTTTAGGCACACAGAGGTTAAGTGACACACAATTTCATACAAGATTGTGACTGGCAAAGGCCAATCCACTATATAAGGCCAGGTAATTTTATAGACATCTTTTAGCAAGTTAGTAAAATAGTGGGGACTTTTCAGGCTGAAAATTGAAATTAAATGGCATTATGTTACTCTGCTAAAACTAAACAAACAAACAATATAAAACAAGAGCAACTTCTTGCTACTTATGGGTAATATGAATACACAGTAAGGTGAAGAAGGGTATATGTATTTTTTTCCAACTTGAGAAGATACTGGAAAGGAAATGCTCATGTAAGAACAAAACTGGTTTGTGCCCATGTACCACAGATATTAATCTATGTATGGAATAACTTTCCTACAAATAAAAAATTATTTGAGCAAATTAGCCAGTCCTAAATAAGTACTCTTCTTCTATATGAACTAAAATACCCACAATAAAATAAAATAGGCATGAAATTGCCCAACCTCTTTTTATGTCTAAACTAGTAAAGTAAAATAAACTATTATCCAAAGGCAAACTAAACAATTTCTAATCTAAATATATATTCTTGCTTGTTAAAATACAAACCCTCCACATATAATCTACTATGTCTTTAAAAAAATTCTCAATGACATATATTACAGGGATCTAAACAAACTAAAGTATATAACTATATATTTTAGCATTACTGCTAAATCATAATGTGTGGGATAAAAAGACAGACATTAAAGATTGCTGTTCTTTAAACAATTTTCTACACTAGGGAATTATATATGTGTGTATAAGTGTATACCAGCATGTAGCTATAACTATTATTTTAGTGATAGACTGTGTAATTTACACATGAGCACACCAAGAGGCAACCTTACAAATCTCATCTGTATGACATAAAAATCAGATGATATCCTGAAAATACAAGTATTAGAGCAATAACACTATAGCATTAAACAGTTGATAGCTTCCTAGGTTAGCCTTTATGAAAACAAAGTAATGGCAATATAATTTGTTTTGCTTTTTTTTGGCCTGAATGGTAAGAATAAAGCTACATTATGTCAAGATATATACATATACACATTAAGAATTTTAAAAACTTAATGAATATATTGAATTTTAGGCAAAGTTCACTAAAAAAAGGACATAGATGGAAAATATGCTTTGATGAAAGGTCTTTGAGATGCTGCATTACCATATCCCCTCTAAATTGTCCATCCAAATTAGTGATAGAAACTCAAATGCCTTTTTTTGGAGGGGTGGGAGGAAGGCACAAGTTAAACAAATCTTTCTATTTTTCCCAAATACAAATGTTCCTGGATATTTGGAACAGATTTTCCTTTCCTAAAGCACTTTTTGATTCATTATCAAATCAATGTATATTTACGGGCACACACGTACAACAATGATCCACTTAAATGAGCTCAGATTCTAACAAAAGGTTAGCTGTACTAAATGCTATGGGAAAGAAATACCACAAACTACAAGCTAAAGGTCAATGTTTAGGGTATACATCCCCAAATTCTCTGATTCTCAGTTGACTTGTCCTAGAAATCAAAATATGGCAGTGTCTCAATCACAATACTGTCAGATTTTATGTGGGTATAAAGTTTCTTACCTTATTGCTTCCTTGAGTTCATTTTTGGTCCCAGTACTGGTGCTATCCCTTTTCTGCTTATATAGTTAAAAACTTTTCTTTAAATTTCACTTGACAGAGAAAAAAAAGATTGATCTTGTACTCTCTTATCTATTGTCATATCTCACTACAGGACAATGCTCCAATTATCACTTTTCTCTTTCCTGTTGAGACTTAAGTTACTGGCTTATAAACTATGGTTTGTAAGGAGATGAAAAATGATAAAATTATTTTTTAAAAAGGAAGTTCAGAAGGAAAAATATGCTTAGAGGGAACTTCCAACAGAATATTTGTCTTTGCTGATAGACATCAGGGCTATGCCATTTCTGGATCACACCCATGTCTCACTCAAGTCAGTGACTGGATCTTCTCCTTACGTCTCCCCTGCTTTACATCAGATAGGCAAGAAGGAAGTGGTTTCATGGGTAGCCTTTGAGAAAACTTACTACACTGAAATTACAAAGTTCTTTCCTGACTATTCTCTCACAAAAACAGCAAGCCAATTAAATAATATACTTTCTTTGTAATACTGCCTCAAAGTACTTTTCATTTGTTTCAGAGTACCTTAACTTTTTAAAAGACATTAGTGACAAATATACTTATTTCTCCTTAAAAGTCACACAGCCAATATTTTTCTTTATGCAATAAAAGTTTTAAGTGTCACAGAATGTGTGATAATTTGCTCTTAACCTACTTTTAAAAAAGAAAAGATTTCAAACATTCTTGATAAACTGGTAAACACAAAAGCCAATGATTACTTAAAATCATCAAGCAAAAAAACCTCAGTTCAGGAACACCCCTTGCACTTTGCAGTACACAAAATATCACAAACAGTATTCTCATCAATGTGCTAAGAGTGGGTGTCACTGATCACCTCAGTTCAGTGGCATAAGACAAACATGCAGAAAATATGTAATAGTCCCCCAAAACATTTCATGCTATGCTCTCAAAAGTTGTGCAAAAATAAAAATACAGCAGTGGCAAAGTGTACACAAAATCTATACAGTGTATAATTAAACTAGGTATTCTGCAGAATACACCATCTCTGTAAACTTCAGCTCTGTGTGAAATAGGCCACTCAGTTCCTCTTGGCCTGGCTGCTTTCCCCATTAATCAGCATCTTCTCCTGCTGTTCTGCAAGGGCCTGCCATTTTTGTCTATTCTTTCTACAGCCATCCAGCAAAGGGAGACAGTCCTCTGATACATGGGTCAGGGCCTAAGACAAGGAAAAGAAAGTAAACAACTAGACGGAAGTCAGGAAATAAGCCCTCTCCCACAGGCCTGTCACACAGAGCCACATCCCACACCCATTCCACAAGCAGGCCTGCTACTGGGGTGTTCACAAGCTTTGAGAACACATACGCAGATCACTTACACATGTTTCCTCTTAAGCTCTACAGATAAGGAGTGTGTGCTGAGAGACAGAGCAAACACACTTTCCAAAATAACATTACTGAGCTAAGGAGACAGATTTGTGTGGAATCTGCTTTTAGGGGAATTGAGACATTTTGTTTCTGTGTGGTACAATTGACTCTCCCTAAGTGTTACCGCATTGAGATCCATGTAGTTTTTGTGTTTTTCTGTAGAATGATTTTTTTTTTTTTTTTTTTTTTTGTT